TGTCTCGAAATCGAGTGAATGGAAGTTTACCCGAATCAATAGGTCAGCTTTGGAAAATGGAAAAATTATGGTTTAGTCACAACATGTTAGAGGGTGTGGTTTCTGAAGTTCATTTCGCTAATCTCACCAGATTGCGCATATTTCAGGCATCTGGAAACCCTTTAGTTTTGAAAGTAAGTCCTCAATGGGTTCCCCCGTTCCATCTCGGGGTTATGGCATTCTCATCATGGCATTTAGTTCCAAAATTTCCTTCCTGGCTTAGATCCCAAAAGGATTTTGTTTACTTGGACATTTCTCTTACAGGAATCATAGATACCATTCCCAACTGGTTTTGGAATTTGTCCACCATGTTTTTTTCGTTGAATCTCTCTCACAATCAAATCTATGGCAAAGTTCCTGGTTACATTGCTTCTTCTCCTCTTCTTGGTGAACCTGTATATATTGATCTCAATTCTAATACTTCGATGGTCCAGTACCCTGTTTGTCCTCCAAGGTAAATACACTAGATCTTTCAAACAACTCATTTTCAGGACCCAGTTCTAACATTTTGTGTTGCAAAATGGAGTGGTTGGAAATTCTTCACTTGGCAGACAACCATTTATCAGGAGAAATTCCTGATTGCTGGATGAACTGGCCAAACTTGGTTTCAGTAGATTTAAAGCGCTATAATCTATCTGGTACTGTTCCAAACTCCATGGGATCATTGAGCCTTCTTCAGTCATTGCTCCTTAGCAAGAACAACCTTTCTGGAGTTTTGCCCTCATCACTGCAAAATTGCACTATGCTATTGGCTATTGACCTTGGTGAAAATAATTTTGTGGGAAATATTCCTCGTTGGATTGGTGAGCGGCTCTCAGATATCATTATTATCAGCCTCAATTCAAATAGTTTTGAAGGTCAGATTCCTGATGAATTGTGTTCTTTGAGTTATTTGACAATCCTAGACCTTTCACATAACAATCTCTCTGGAAGCCTACCAAAATGTTTCATGAACTTCAGCGCCATGGCCGCAAATGAGAACTCAAGTGCCCCTATTTCTTATCATTTTGGTCATTTTGGTACCTCCTTGGAGACCATGCTATTGATGATCAAAGGAATATTGCTTGAATACAGTAGCACTCTTCAACTAGTAACGAGCATGGACCTTTCAGACAACAATTTATCTGGTGAGATCCCAGCAGAAATAGCTAATCTTTTGGTCTTGCGGTTCTTGAACTTGTCCCACAACCATTTGACAGGAATGCTCCCCAAGAATATAGGCAATATGCGGTTGCTAGAATCTATTGACTTATCTTGGAACCAAATCCCTCCTAGCAAGTCTGCTTTTAACCTTCTTGAGTTACTTGAACTTGTCACATAACAACCTGACAGGAAAATTTCCATTAAGCACTCAACTTCAGATTTTCGATATTTCCAGCTATGGTGGAAATGATCTCTGCGGGCCTCCATTGTTGAAGACTTGCAGCCCAGATGCCATAACACCTGTTGATAATTATAGAGGGAGTAAAGCTGATGAATTTGAAGTGGATTGGTTTTGGTTTTACGTAAGTATGCCTTTCGGATGTGTTGTGGGCTTTTGGATTGTCATGGGTCCTTTGCTGTTCAATAAGTCCTGGCGATTTGCTTATTTCCGCTTACTGAACAGAGTGAGGCACAAAATCAGGGCAGTTACTACCAATCATCGCTAGCGTCATACATTCAGCAGATTTTGGTTAAGCAATTTCCTTCTGCGAACAGTGAAATATGTTGCATGTAATAAATCTTCAGATAGAAGATAAATAATTTTTAGTAATTTCTTTTTTTTACAAATGAGATCATATTATGTTTAATAGCGATGGTTTGTTGATACAATGTTAGATTAGATTGCTAATTCTAATAATTAAGATTCAATACCCGATAATCTCAAAAAGAGGGAATTGTTAAAGTTCATGCCTAAGATTTCTACTCACACTTCCATCTAAACTTTGCTAATTAAGTTAAGCGCAAGCGATGATGAATTATATAAGAAACTAATGCCCAATTTCGTACACTCTTCCAAATTTTCCAATCTCTTAATATCATTTCATGGCCATTTTGTATTGTTTATGCAGGTAACATCAACTTGAATTTTCAGAAAACAGACTGAATCACCACAATTTCCGTTATCAGAACTTTACAGTTCAATCAAAATGTAGTCTTTTTCATCAAAAGTAAAAGTCTTACTAATTAATTCACAGTATATTCTTAAAAAGAAGAGAAGAATATGGGAATTAAGAATTGGAAGGCACAATGTACCTTGTTTGAGGATACACGATGAGATTAATTTCAGATCAATAATATTATAATTGTAAACTTTTGGTACAAAATAATGATTATTAGGAAAAAAATTGATGGAGGCAACCAAATGATGGAATTCAACTGGTGGAGGAGCCTCTGCCTGATTGTGCTCCGTTAGGATTGTTCTAGCCAATTGGCATAGAGCAGGTATGGATTGAGAGAGACATGCAATATAGACTAATAGGATTGGAAATTCTTGAGAGGGTGACTTGTTGACTGGCTCTCAATAAAACAAAAGAATGATCACCAATCAAATGGTGAGCATGCCTCACTCCAGGGATAGAATTAACCATGAATCATTCTCTGAATTTCTTGTCTTGCAGAAAATGTTGTGAGGCAAAAGAACTTGAAAATTTTCTATTGGAAAATGATATGGTCTTACAGAGAACCTCCATAGTGGCAGAATCAACATTATTAGCATGCATGTTGCGGTTGGTGTTTTCCAATTTTACCTTTGATATTTTCTTTATTCAAAACCAGGCACCCAAATCCATTTCCCAAACCATTTTTTTTTTTTTTAATTCTAACTACTCAATTTCTGAACCATTCCTCTCTTCTTGCCTCATAAGATTGACGAAAGAAAGAGTACTTGGCAACAAGTCTTAAATTGGGGTTCAACAATCTGTCTAAATTCCTGGCTGTTGGACTAAATAGCCAAGATTAATTCGCTTCTTAAATATTTGGTAAACACATGCTATAATTAACCTGACTTGAAATTAATACTATTACACAAGTCCCATGGAAAAAATTTAAGCCTTCTCTGGTCAATATTCCCCATACAAAATACTATGCAACAGCACCGGATACTTATTGCTTTTGTGGACTTTGAAATCTTTAAATTCTTCTTTAATGATCAATATATGAGAGAATTTTTTTTATATATTTGAAACGGTTAAAAATTAAACCTTTATAATTGAAATTAAAAATTTAATACTTTACGTTCAACCAACATGTATGATTGTTGTCAATATATAACATAACATCATTTGGAGTTAAGTTTTGTAAAATTTCTTCTAGATAAATCATATTAATATACAAATTCAAGTAATAAAATTATATTTTAAATACTTTAACTTTAAGATATTAAACTTGGCATCACGTGAAATTAAAGGTATATATATTTTTTTGGCTTGCTGAATGGTTATATTAAATAATCCACAACTATATGAAACGAATTCATCAATATCTTTAGAATAAATTCTTAGCATTGTGAACTAACCTAGGTATGAAAAAAAAAAAAAAAAAACCCTAGATAGAAGATTTAAATTGAAAAGCTAAAATTAAATGTGTTAAAATGACGTCATTAAATTGGCTAAAACCAAAATATAAGAAAAAAAAAAAAAGAGAGAGAGAGAATTAGAGAGGCATGCTTGTAATTAAGCTTTGCGTATTTAAACAGGTTGTCGAATATTGTAAGGGAAATCATCATATTTATTGATAGCCAAATTTTTATACTCTATAAACATGTGGCAGCCTTTTTACCTTCATGAAATTAAAAAATTTCAGTGTAAATGTATAAAAACGAAAATTAAAATTTAAGAATTGAGGAATCCCGAAAAGGTTTGTTATAAATCAACTTTGCAGTATAACACCAAACTTTAATTAAAAAATGGATTCCGCCAGCCCCATAAACTTCATCATTCTCATAAATCTGGGGTTATTATTCTTGTAGTATCCCCTTAATAATTATGAGATTTCCATGAATTTACTTTCCATTTTAAGAGAAAATTATTAAAAATATTTTTAAAATCTATGGATCTCTTATTACGTGCATATTGACTCCCTCAAATAATTCTCCATATTGTATGCGATAATGGGATTCCTTCCCCCTATGCCTTAATGCATAGTACTCATGGCTTGTCATAATTTATAGTACCAAATATCTTGTTTTATTTTTGATGAATTGCATCTACACATATATTGCAATGAAATTATATAGTTTGGTGATCAAAGATGCAATTTTGGAGGAAAAGGGATTTAAACCCATGTTTTCCAACATCAAAGATAATGCATGTGTCACGGGATCGAGATTCAACCTCTAGGTTCGTGCGGCTTCATAACTCAAGCATGCATTTATCTGACGTATTAGATCAACCTACTTACCACAGTTTACATCTTTATGAAGTATTATCCACTCTAGCCCATCTGACCTCATAATTTTGTCCTACAAAAAATACCTCACAAGGAGGAGACAGTGTGAACCATTATATCCCATTATTAACTCCAGTACTCAACCAATGTGGGATTCCTTACTTCACTTCAGGACCGTGACATTCTTCTCCATTCCAACAAGTGCCCATCGTTCTCAATAGCACATTACTAATATCTCTAGAGCTGATTCTGATACCACTTGTCATAAGCCCCTGACACATGCATCTCACCATAATCATAATGTCAAACTTGGTAATAGAGTAACCTTATGACCTAGACAGTCAATTAAATATCAAAAACCATTGAGTTTTTTTTATTATTATTATTTTGGAATTCAAATTCGAAATCTTTAATTAATCTTAAAGCCAACTTAAGTACCACTGAATTGCCAGTTCATTGTTAAGAACCATTGATTTGTTACTATAATAATTGACTTGTTTAGCCCCACATGATACATAAATATAACAGGCAATGACATATGTAATATGCTAATTTCTTAACTCTTTCATGCAGAGTCCAACAGGAAGCAAATCAAAAATTGAAAATTATTTGAACTTAAAAGGAACTCAACACAAACACTCACATAAACATTAAACAATCTTTACATAAAAACGGAACTACATTAATTAAACCCCTCTTCTTTACTCCCAAAAAACTCTTTCAAAAGCTGCTACTCCATCTTTTCAGCTTTTTTCCCTGAGCATTTATTTCAAGAGCTCCGAAATCCAATCAAGATGTGGCAAATCCGAATCCGCCACCTCAAACCCACCGCCAATATTGTTTCTTTCCCTTTCCTCATCTTCCCTGATCTTCAATGCCCTCAAACTCTTCAGGAAATCTGATACCCCTTCGCAGCTGCAGCTCTCCCTGTTCATCATTGGTGAGAAAGGTGATGATGGGGCGACATGACCTGGTTGCATTGAGGTGGAACCCTCTCCGCCACTTGATGGACTCCCCACCATCAGCTGATGATCCCCACAGTTCATCATCCTTCCCTTGTATGCAAAATGGCACTTGTATTTGGACTCGGACCTGAGCTGGTCAGGTGTATGGGCAAAGAAACAAACCTTACGTTGGCAAAATCTCCCAGCATTGCATGCACGCGTACGATACCTGGCAGGGTGTAGCCAGTACTCGAAAACCCCATGAGCGAACTCACAGGCGTCGCCTTTGTGGCATTTTCCGTTGCGGAAGGCATGGCACGCAATGGCGGTGTAGGGTACCTTACGAGGGTCTCGGCGTTGAGCCTTCTCGCCACGATGGGCGTAGGGGCACTCGGTCCAGTCGTGGCTACGCATCCTGGTGCACCGTTTGATCTTGTAAGCGTACATACGGAATTCATCAGAGCCGTAGATTGCTTCATCAATGGCATCGTTGTATTGAGCCTGGGTAATGTTAAGGCCCGAGATGAATTGTTGCTCTGCGAAATCGTAGAAATTATTGGGATTGACACCTTTCAACATTTCTCGAGATTAACGGGAAATTAATGAACAAAGAATCCAAAACCAAATGCAGCAACAAAAACAATAGGATTTTTTTTATACAAAAATTTTATCTTATTCAAAGACGTTGACCCCAATGAAATATTTGTATACATAGATGAAAATTCAAGAAAAACTTTGGAAGAAATATCAATGTCTTAGAGCTTGAATGATTTTTTCATATATAATAACATCTGCCTGTAAAGAATGTAAAAGTATCGTGATAATTAGAGGAGAATTAGTTTTAATAGGATGCTGGGGAAAGAAAATATGAAGAGAAAGGAAACAAAGGGAAAACCCATTACTGGTTTTACAGAAACCTAAGAGACAAATAATTTAAGGTTGTAGGTGAAGGAGAACCAATGGGGAAAGGGTTTGCATTTATAGAGAGAAGTAGAGTTAAAAACTAACCCATGGGAGAGTTACTATTGAACTCCACAATCTGACCTTTCACCTAACGGTAACGGACGTCTTCTGGGGTGCTCTGAAAGTCTGAACTGAAGCCTCTTGGCTGCTGCTGCTTCGCCCATTGGGAGGACATTGTTGCTCCTGTTAAGCATATGTTTAGCCAGTAGCAGCATTTAATATTATGTGCCTATTTCTGGTTGGCCATTTTTACAAGTGTTGTTGTCATGATTTTCTTTAATTAACTTCTCTAATGAACATCATGAACCTAGCTATTTAGGATTTTTTTTAAATGAACAATGTTATTTATTTGCACATCTTATGCACATACCATGTCCACCTAGACAGGGCAAAAGGTATATAAATAGAACATATATATTTGCACCTTCTCATTCATTAAATAAGCATGAAGTGTGCATCAAGAGCGTGCAAATATTGTTTTCCTTTTTATATTAATCGAGGTTTTTTCAGTTTCAGATATATATCTAGGGTAGATTTAGACGAATTCTTATCTTATTTTCTTGTGTTGTTTTAGACTCCTAAGTGCTAATCCAATTAAAAAAATAAAAACTTTTTTTTGTCAATTGACATTTGATTTTTGTGGATAGTATTTTGAAATTAAAATCTTGAATACATTAAATTAAGATCGTTTAATAAAAAATTTAGATCCAAACAAAATTAAAAAAAATACCCTAATTGTATTACCAACAAGAATATTAAAAATTTGCTCATCCATACAAGCACTTTTGCATTGCAATAGCATGTAGCAATAGTTATGCCAATAACAAGATTTTTTTTTGGATAATTAAATTCATATTTTACCTGGCTAGGTTCATCTTGGGCTCCATGGTAGTAAGTAATAACAAATTGGTGTCAAGTCTCTTAATAATTAAGGATTAAATTAAATTAAAAAAAACCTATGTGATTAAATTAAGGTTTAAATTATACAATAACCTATGTGATAATTAAAATTTATTCAAAAAGCTACGTTTTTTAATTTTTAGTTTAGTAATTAAATATGTTTGAAAAAATATCAAAAATTTGATTTTAAACTAAACCTCTCATCTTTCTCTTACTTATATTAAGATTTTATCCTACTAATATAACAAAAAAAAATTTACTTGTTTGTGAAAAAAAGAAGTATACAAGTTGAAATCTCCCTAATAAATGCTTCAATGAAAAAGGATTTTCATTACCACGTCACGTGTTAGCTACAATTAAGTGTGGGTTAAAAATAGTAAATGATGACATGGACAGGCACAGATGTTGGTGATAAGTCCGTGCACTTATATAAGGACTAAAAGTAAAGTGAGATTCTGTGGAACACGTGTTCCGATCATGAAGACATACTCATCACATCAGGCTGTTCAGACTCAGATTATTTTATGTGTTTTTGTAAATTTGGCAAACCGTGTCCTTTTGGGGTTTGGTAACTATGTGACAAAACAAACAAACTTAACTTTAATTCTCTGGGGAAAACACAAATGCAAAATTAAACCAAAAAAATTGGCATCTAATCTAGAGCAATTGATTTCAATGGAAAATTTTAAAGTAAAATTATCTTATTTGACAAAATATTAACTAAAATTGTCAAAATATTTTGGAATTTGAAATAGGGATTTTAGAAGATTTAATTTCCCTTTTAGAATTTCACTTGAAAAGGTGAAATTGGAAATATTGTTTGGTTTTTCCATAAGATATCAATATTTATTATATTTCTTTTTTAATTTTATGCAACTTTAATTTTTCTTAACTCTAACTACAAAAACTCATTTCAATTTGTTTTTTATTTTTTCATGTTATTAGTAATATTTATATGTTTTTACAAATTCAATAACACCCATATTACATTTTTTTGACACCTATCTTAATCCATCTCTAACATCATTATTTCTTTATTATAATTATTTTTTATCTCATTAAATTCTAATATTCAAAATGTTATCTAAAAAAATTTATTCAAACATTATAATTACAAATGTTAATATTTTAAATTGATGCATTTTAAAATACTTACATTTTTAAAATTTTAAAATTTCAAAACTTCTAACTCAAATACACCCTTAGAAGATTAAGAAGCTTTTTGGACTAAGGGTAAATGGAGATATTGAGAATTGGACATTTACATTTATATACAACTTTAACATTAACAAGAAGAAAGAAGAGTATAAATAGAGAGAGACATGAAAAGGGAAGAAGATTTGAGGAAATAAGAGCCAAATATGGTATTAATAATTTAAATAAATTTACTTTAATGGATGAATATTAATGCCCTTTATTTCATTTCTTTTCCATATCTAAAAAGATTGGATTTCATATATATGAAAGGTCAAGAAAAAAAAAAAAAAAAACGTTGGCTCCTTTCTTAGTTTACTATTTTTATTCACTTTCTACCAAACAAAGAAAAGCTTTTAGAAGGTAGGAAGAAAGAACACAACTTTTATATGAATCCATCAATAAATAAGAGAAGTACTTGAGATACATATATTATAACACATTAATATACAACTCAATTTAAATTTTGCATGATGAATGCTATTCATATATATGTAGAATCAAATTAAAAATTAGAGTTTAGAATTCTTCATCATTTCAAATGATTTCAACTAGTTTATAAAAGATCACATTAAAGAAAAAGATGCAATTATGCAAAATCAATCTCAAGATGTAAAACATACCTAAATTTGAAGATCTTTAAGCAAATGAATCATGTACACCTTTGATGTTGATATGCAAAGTTATCACTTTGCTTACACAAACGTGCTCGCAAACAAGCATCTCTTGAAACTTGACGTTGCAAAACCCTAAATATCGGCATTGAGTTTTGCTATCAACGGCACACTCATCGGAATATACTATCTGACTGGACACATTGAATATCTTAATTTTCAATGTAAGTTTTGTATGATAATAACAAAGCAATTGAGGAGCCTTTGAAGTATGAATCGAATTCATTGAATCGAAATTCATTTTTGTTCTCCGATGAATATGATTGTCTGATTAAAAACTACTCAATCGAAAACACTAATAATATAAATTCAACACTCAATGAAAATAGTTTAGAGTATTTTTAAATAGAAATTTTTTACTATGTGGCAATCGACGTGGGTAAATCGACATAATAATATATATATGTATATATACACACACATACACATGTAATTTTTCTAATTTCAATTCTATTTTCTCAAAAAATTTAATATCCTAAGCTAGCTAGGTTAGTTATCCCCTCTACTTAAATTAAATAGCTTTTCTATATATATTTTTTCTCTATCCTTTTCCATTTGTTTAGTGCCTTTTCTCAAGACTTGAAGTAAATAGTTTTAAGTTGTGAATTTTTAAAATATTGTTGTCTCTTATCTTATTATAGTAATTATGATATATTAATAACTAGAAATTTACAGGCAATGTTCTCTTATTATATATCCAATAGCTGATGTAGTAAATTAAAAAAGAAAAAAAAAAAGAAGGAAAGAAAAACCTAAAATTTAAGAAGAGTTGAAGGTGGTGGATTGGAAAGGGTGGTAGCTTTTAGTAATGACAAAACGCTTCCGTAATGAAACTGATTTTTCCTGTCTCTTTTCTTTGTCGGTGAAGAAGGAATTAGACACATTTACCTTATTTTCCGTGAGCGTTACTTTTGTGTTTTCGGTGACGAAATGACAAAAGAATCGTAACTAATGTCTCCTCACTTGCTGACCTCATTCTCATTTAAAAATTAAAATTGTTGGCCCCTCCTATTTTTCTTTTTCTGCACGTTTTTTAAGAACATAAAATAAGGCTCATTAAACCAAACTAATACAAATTTGTTTATTTAATTCAAGTTTAAGTTGTTTCATAATACAAATTACAAAGGAAATTAGTGTTCATCTTTATATATATATATATATATATATATATATATATATATACAAATGAGATTGTAATATAAAAATAAAAAAATCATATGTATTGAAATTTAAATTTCATATTTGTTAAATATCATTTATTAAAATTGCTTGCATAAATTAAATAAATAAATTTTAAGAATAAATTGAAATATAAAAATTCAAGAAAAATTATTTATCTAATTTGAGAATGTCCAAAAGAGTTAGGGAGATGAAATTGTGCATGGCATCAAAACTACCTTAAAAACCTATGGTTATGGTAAAAGGATTTATGTATTTAACAGAAAAAAAAAACTGTCAAGATAAGAAAAACTTAGTTCGTCCAGGCATACCTATTTTAAACTTGATTATATTTAAAATAATAAAATGAATTATTTTTATACTAATATTAAATATTCTAAAATTAAAATTAAATAAAAATAATATTCCAAATGGAGTCCAAACTTAGAAATTCCTGCTCAAGAGCAAGTCTGACCTGAGTGTTCACCAGGCCCATGGACAGGTGTATTGACCATTTTTGTTCATGGATAAGTAAATGGGATAATTAGTTTGAATTGAATTGAATAGAACATTGCAAAACTACAGCAAACAAAGAGAGGTAGGAAAAAATATTGCTTTTTGTAAGAGTTAAAAATACACAGAAATGTATGAATTATACCAGTTGATTGTACAAAACTACAGCAAAACAGTTGGCATGATGGCATGTAAGTGTCACCAACAACCATTATGCAAATTGGGGTTTGTGGCATTTCTGCATTCCAACTGCCTATTTACCAAAAAAGAAGCAAAAAATTACCTGCCTTCAGCCTTTTATAGAATCCGAATCCTGCTTTTGGTATTGTTCCAGAATGATATTACAATTATTCATGGTTCGCGCATCGAGGAGACCGTGATTCCACAGCTTTATCATGAATAATCTCCAACACCTGCCGATACAACAAATGGTTGTTAATTATGAATTACATTAAATCATACATCCAATGTACATCAAATATGGGTCAGCAAAACAGCAATTTAATGCAGAAAAGACATTGTTATGAACATGATTTTATACATCAGCTAATCAGAAACGCTCGTAACAAGTATAATATAATCAGACAAGCATATGCATACCAAAAGAAGAAAATGAAACTACCAGTGATGGGGGTATAGAAAAGTAGAAGCTCAATGCCAGAATGAAGATAGCAATAATTTTAATCAAAAACAGACAAGGTCACGCCCATGTAATTTTGAAAATGGTTCACCACGCCATGGTATATGACCATCTGCCAACACCCTGCCATGATGAAAACATAATATTAAAAACAAATGAATTACCACAACATTAAATTTTCTTTCGGAAGGCACCACAACACTGCTTTGCAAATAGTCAACCAAATCAGTCAAACAAATAAAGAAAGGTGAAAGAAATAGAGAAAAGCAAAAACCAAAGAAAATAGAAAGACAAGATTACCTTTGCTTCCTCACAAACGAGTTCCAGAAATGCATTATTTGCTTCTCATGTTTGGTTACATCTACGAAGTCATCAAGCATCTGCAACATGCTAGAGCATATTAATGCAATCTTATAAATGCAAAAACAGCTCACCAAGATGCAATCCATTCAAGTGCCCTAACTACCCAACCCAAGCGTTGCAGGCATTCAGAGCATCATGAGTTCATTTTTGTAATGGTTCGAGAACATTAGTAATTACTGATTTATATCTCATTACTATTCATATGCTCACCGATTTCAGTTCCTAGCTTGTCCACATCGCAGGTAATTGAGTCACAAATTCAATTTACATTTTCCCAAAAGCATTTTCATGAGATTAAAAATCTTTTCATAAATTACCCTTTATATATTCCTTGGAAACAAATCTATCAAAATGGTCACTATGCTTCGGATTTTGCAGTACATTAGTTTAAAGACTATGCCTCTAAAGTGGTGCTTGTTGATACCTACATCATCCTTCAATTCTTAGCTAGCCACTGACTGAAGCCCAAAACAGTATTTCCTTCCAAATAAGCATCAGAATTGCAAGATTATGAAAGAAAGAATAAACAAATAAATATATAAACAAAAACATACCCTTCGATCTTCAAAATCTGCAACATCATCATCAACCTCATCCTCACTGTCTCTGTCAGACATTACTTGATCTATTGCCATTGGCTTCAAGCAGAGATGTACAGTTTCAGAGATTTTGACGTACAAAATGTAAGTGACATTAGTCACAGATTTAATAGTTGGCTATTACTAAGTCTCATAATATCTCTTGACAAAAACTAATGCAAAGGCATATTAAGTGTGCCAGGCAACATATCTCAAAGGGAAAACCAGAACCTCAGTCCCCACTCCATTTCATATGCCCACCACAGACAGCTAGCTAAGCCACAAATCATAAATTAGATCCACACTCTTAACAGTTCTAATGTGTGTGTGGGATAGTGTAAGCAACAGAAGGCAATATTTTTCTTTTTCCTCTCTTTCTCTCTCCTCTTCCCTTCACACTGTACAGATTATGGAGCTCACCGCATTTTCCAGAACCAAATAACAAACACAAATTGCAAAGTTGTCAGTCACCTGTGCTCTGTGTGAGTGAAAAAACTGTCGCTTCTGAAGGATTGTACAGCTGGAAAGACAGAAAGGAAACAAATCAAACCCATATTCATGGTTCAACAACAAACCCTTTGTCATAGGCGAAAATGGGGCAGGGTGGAGAGCGAAGCAAATTATAGACATAGGGAAGTTCCATCTTTTAACTAGTAAGTTGCAGCTATTCTTCTTAGTTCTATTAACAAACTGGGAGGGAAATGATGGATAAAGGATTTAGAACATTTATGCTTGAATCAGGGAAGGCTGTAGCTGCTTGACACATAGGGAAGTGGATAAAATACCTCCCACCCCCTATAATTCGAGATCAACATTCTCTGGCAAAACAATCATCCAACAGTAGCTTTTATCACTTGTACCAGAAAATACCTACCATAGAAAGGTACAAAAATTGACTAGGCAATGCCTTTAAATTCACAGAACTAGCTCCACCAGCAATGTTCCAATAAAAACAAAGCATTTTATCATTGCACAGCTTTGGAATGAATTAAGATCACACTGAATGTATAGACAAAAAACAAAAAGACATACTTCCTTGGATCAGATTGTTCCATCGATATTTTTCTTGTCTTTGCAAATTGCAACAAGGCAGGGGGTGCAAGATTGTTTCCAGACACTGACAGAAAACGTTCAGAATCAGAATATGATTGTCCTGCAGCACCTGAAACGCCTGCAACATTGAAACTGGATGGAAGATGCTGCGCACACTCCAAAGCACCAACTCTAGGATTTTGTAAAAAGTTTCCGCCTGAGATGAGCCTTTTGTCAATACTTGAACAAGCTAAAGTGATAAACATGATTCCTACAGCTGATCAGCTCAATCTAGAGAGTTTCAGATTAGAATTATGTGCATAGGTTATGACAAGTGTTGACAACAATATACCTATAAAATTTTATGACTCTATCATCCATTGCTAGTTGTTGGGCATCTTTTGCATTTCCAAGGACTTGAGTCAAGCACCATAGAGTTCCATCTTTCATGCATTAGATTCGTGGCCCCAGAACATGCTTCTTAAAAGTATTTAGCTTGGAATATTTGGAGAAACATAATTGGACATACCAGAAATAGGTATCAACTTCAAACTCCTATGTTCAACCTATTTAGAAGGATTACCAGGAAGAAGCTTATTTTTAGCCAAAGCTGGGCTTGTTATGTTCATTTTTAATCCCGCAACCTTAGTTTCACTTTTCCTCATCTGGGAGTGCCTAGACAACCTTCCACTTCTTAAAGAATACAATAATTTTGGTTAAACAAACATTTTTTTTAATAAAAAGCTAATAAGTATGCAATTATAAATAAAACTCCATACCAGGAGCTTTGCCAAGAAGCTTACAGCCTCCTGCCAGCAGATTTGACTCTAAGAAAACAGGATGTACATGCCTTGCATTTTGAACTAGGCTCTTCAGTCGTCTACGCCTTAATTGCTTGGAGCTGTGCATACATATGAGCTACCAACTTCATTTCATGGAAATAACATGAGGCAAAGAAACTCACGAGCACATAAAATGGCAAATTAAACAACTTACCAAAAGAAAAAGGTCTGTTGCTTAGGATCAACACACCATCTGGAACAATCTGAATAGAATATATACACATATAAATTACAAGAGAAACAAAAAGGACAATCTATGTGGAAACTAATTATATGTGCATGGTTCCAATTCTTCTATCTGAAGACAGAAGCTAGCACCGTTATGCACCGTTTAACTCAATTGAAGTACAGTAGCAAATTCGATAAAGTCATACTATAGTGGCAAATTTCCCCTTAATCCCAAAAGAATGTAAAATTTAAAGTTTGAAGTATTTCAGCATACTTTTCCCTGTAAAGTTATAGGAATCAGTATTAATTTTAAAAAGGTCTAGCCTGAACCGTTAACACAGGTCCAAATCAGGTCATTTAGCACCTGGTCTTAATTTGGTTATTAGAAGACAAAAAAAACAGAAATCAGTTAACAAATATGGTACTGCAAGCCTTGGCAAGAAAATGCTCTGACCTCAGATCTCCAAATTTCAGTTTTAACTGACACATTAACAGCTTGATACTCTTCATTTACCTACAAAGTATCTATGTATTAGAAATTTTGGCATGCAAGCATCAATTATCAAAATGCCAACATAGATTCCTGAAGTTTACCAACCCAGAATTCAAAATAGAAGAGATCATGGGATACTGGCAAGTGATGCCTCAGACCCTATATTAAAAAGCAAAAATTAAGCATCAACCATAAAAGTCTAAGTAATATGAATTCAAGTCCATTTCAATCAAAATGATATAGAAGTAAAAATAGAAGCAAAAAGAACAACCTTAAAGCTTGCACATTTTACCAAGCAGAATGGACAAGAGAAGTCTTCAGTTACTGCAAATAAATAGAATTTATGACATTACATCAATAAGATGAGTACAATGCATAAATTATATAAAATTCCAAAACCAGTTGTTAATGATTAACTAGTTAACTAAAAGTGTCTACCACACCAGGAGAGAAGAACCAAAAAGTCCGAAGTTAAATAATCCTTTTCTCGAGTGAACTAGCAGCTAAAGAAAAGGATCAAATATCACAAAAAATTGAGTCGGATTCTAATTAATGCCAACAGCTTTACCAACCAAAAGTAGTATCTTTAATTTCAGACTGCAGCTTCATAGTCACATCCTCTCCCCCACTTCAAATAGTTAAAAGGCAAGTAAAGCACAACATGTATTTGATTACAAGAACTAAGAAATAATACCTTCAGTCCTCTGTAACTTGTTGTTGTAATATCTATAATTAAAGATGACATTCCCTGCTCTCAACCTAGAACAAAAAGCAGCAAAATTTTAGTCTTAGAATGAGACACAGAGACTATGGTATGGTTCAAGAGGAAATCACATCATGCAAATGAACAATCCTTTTTTCTTCCAACTGTATTTTTTTTTTTTTATTTTTTTTGGGGGGGGGGGGAGAGGGTGGGGGGACTAGGTTTGAAAGAAAAAATTATATATTATACAAGAACTCAAATATACATATGTTTAGGTGGGCAGTAAATCAAATTAAACATCAAAGCATCCAAAAGATTCACTAATGCCACATCTCCCTCTCTTAGCTAATATGTAACATGTAGCTCATTTAGAGAATTGCTGGGCGTGATATTTTCCCTTATGCTATACTCTTTATTCTTGTCCCATATATTAAAATCCCAAGGCGTTTCAATTATATCAGAGATTGAATCTCATAAGTTTTAAAGAGAAGCAATGCGTAAAGCACAGAGCTGAGTGGATTCTGCAATTGAGGTGAAGCATATCACCCTGTTCCAATGTAGGCATTGGCAGGCAACACTGGTTGCAACGTGTACATAAATAGTGAATTAGTTAATTGAAATTCCCTTTATAGAGAAAAAAGCACATTCAAATCCAAGAATCACAAACCTAGTTCTTAGCACCAGACTTCTTGCTGCATGAAATAAAGTAGCAGACTCTGACGTACAATCCATGGCTATTAGAACTTTAATGATAAATTAAGGCAGTCAGGCAAAAATAATTGTCATGATTTTATCACAAACAAATCATAAATGTTAGACTTAGGTTCAGACTGTCTAGTTCTGTCAGGTCACCACATTCTTGTAAAATAACTTTCCTTGGAGTGCCAAAGGTTAGTACGAGAATAAATGGATCTCCAATATTATAACTTTTAAGTTAAATTGAGAGACAACATAGACTGAATGATGGAGAGGAGTGATGAGCTAGTTAAAGAAAGGACAAGGTTATTTTCATACACATATTCACAACAGGCACAATTGGGTAACATTAATTTTTTCAGGACATAGAAAAGGGAATGGGTTTGATTAGAACAGCAAAGCTAAATTTAATAATAATAATTATTATTATATTATTATTATGAGGATTACCAAATAATATGAGACAGTGATGAAGAAGAAATGCCATTGAATGTGTATGAATTATAGGGAGATTTTTCCTTTGCCCCAACTTCCTCAGCAGAAATGATGACCTGCAGCTGCAGTGATTGGTTCTTTTGGAGTACAAACAGCCAAATTAAATACCATAAGTAAAATATTTTTCTAAGACAAACCAGAAATGTTTATTTTAAATGAAAAAAAAATGAAAGCAATGAAATACCATTGACAAAGAATTGCTGGAACTTTGGATTAAGATGCAATTGTCCTCATTCAAACAATTCAACTGCAGCAGGAACCAAAAAAGTAACCGCAATTCAGATATTTTGTAAGTTTCAATCATCACTGCTTGAACATTCATTGCCATTTTCTGCATTGATTATAATGAGGCATCTAAAGAAAGTTGAAAACATGGCTAAAGTGTCATTTCCCTGGCAGTCAGCAACAATTGAAGCAACAAAACTACTCATGACAATGTGCTCTGGCCCATTCACTTCTTTATTTAATCACTTACGAAAAAACCAGATAAGCACAGGGGAACCTGATTGAACTTCAGAATGCTTTAGCAACAGAACAGACATCCCAAAAACATAGAGCACTATGCTACTTGCATAGCATTTCTGTCAACCACTACCTCCTTTGATACTGTTGTAAAAATATTTCTCCATTTCTAGCAACTTCTAATCTGCAGTCAAAATTTTCTTTGAAGCACTCATACATGTACATGGGAGGAGTTCAAGATATCCCTTCAACAATAACAACAAACTAAGCCTTATATCCCATAACTCTGGAGTCAGCTGTAACATGAATAATGTTACAGCATATGCACAATAAAATTGTTCCAGAAGAAGAATTTGAGCACTGCCCTAGGAGTGATACATTAATGACTTAGCCATCAATACAAAAACTACAAGAAAAGACTTTCATGGAGTCTTGGACAACACTTTGCAATAATATTGACTGAAATAGTAGCTAAGTATATACTAGCACAGTACTCTAGAAAAAAAATATTTATAACCAGCAAGCTCTGATACCACACCTTCAATAAACAAGAATGCATGTCAACAGGTAATATCATCTCAGCTCTTTGTCCCAAACTCAAGTTTGGGGATTTCTCCAATGAAAAATAGAGTGATTCCAATGGTATCCTACCCCATAGGCAGCATCCTCCATTTGCTTTCAGAATAAAATTGAATGTGAATTAAAGAAAAAAATGGTAAAGTAACACTCAAGAGTTTATATACAATTCAATAAAATTAAGCTATTATAAAGGATCTAATTAATGCATCTGCATGTAAAGGATCTATGAAATACATACCAAAGCTAACAAGCAAAATGGCAAGCGAGCCAGATTTGGCCTCCATAGCTAGCTTATTAATCTCAGGGAAAATAAAATTTGCTTGAGCCTGATTACTGCCCTCAATGCCAGTGAAGCTAGTCAAGATACATGCCTGACGAAAACGATAAACTGCAGAATACTTCATTGTGGGATTCAAAAAGTAAATATATCATAAATGAAGTACAAAAAAAGTACAATGATACCCGAAGAGAATATAAAATGACTAATGAATTTAGCTTGAACGTCCACACATGACACATCCTACCTCTGGAACGGCAACATCAGAAACTAGCCTCGCCAACAAGATGTATAGAGGAAAAAGACTTTGAGTTAGCACAACTTCATTCACAATCCCTGATATGGATAGTGTCGTTTGTATTCTACGTATCAACCAAAAAAATGCAGTTAACAACTCAAATTTACCTATACATAGCAAAAAAGACAGCACACTATTAACAACCAACACTAAGTAACTAATGATCATCATCAAAATTTTACTTAACAAATTCATTCGTAATCACACAAAAAAAGATAAAAATTAATCCCATTGTAAGAAAAGAAGCTTCTCATTGCTCCCTAACTGATGCTAATTCCAACAAGCATATGCATTGTCAAACATAAGAATATATATAACAGATTTGCCTATCCTAAAAGACATCGATATTTATCTCCAAAATCCCTAAACTTCTTCCACCAAAAAGAGCCAATGAAGGCTGTATGCCCTTTAAGTTCTCCCATTGATCCACTATAATGGCAAAGAAAGGGCGAATGTTACAGTAAGCACTTGCAACCATAACCTCGTATAGTAGTTCCAATTACCAGATTAAAATATTACCTCATCTTGTGTTTTGCCTGAATTTTGTACCACAAACATCTTTGAAGAAATGATGGCTGCAAATAAATTTTTAAAAATCATTGAAAGATGGCCATAAACAATAGGTAGAATAAAATCAACAAATGTGCATGTTAAGGATAAAAGAAAACTTTTCCAATTAAAAGAAAACAAAGATGGTTCAAAGCAGCAAGCAGAATTAACTGACTGCAATGCCAAATGACACCATATCTGGAAGAGAACACAAGACGGTCAATCTAAATGAAAACATAAAATGGTTAATGCAACAAGAATCAGAAATATTACATTTCTTACAGCACGTCTTTGAAGAATGTTATAGAGTTCTACAGGCTTGCAATAAATAGATAAACTTTCTTCAGCAGCAATTTCCTCTTCTACAGATAAATGCAGACGGGACTCTTCTCGGCACATCTGATCTGTGCTTCTTAAATAGCTGGAAAAAGAAACACAAACAAGAACCCCTACTCATAAACTTATCCAAATAGCCATATTCCAAATCATACTTCATTACAACAAACTAAAATTCCATAACCAAACAACAATCATCAAACATAGGACTCAGCACAAAACACTCTCACAACGCCCTTGAAAAGAACAAAGTTCGCATTAACATAAAACAATGAAAAAGTTAGAATGACATGATTAGAAATTACGGAGACTGAAATACCAAACATAAACACAAGTATAACACATTGGCAATGATGAATAGGCAAAGCATGAGAAATGTGTTTAATCAGACAGAACATACGAGGAGGTTGCACGAGCCACTAAAGGAATGCCCGGGCATTCTTTACTGGGCAATGCTTAAGCTTAGTATCATAGCTTTCTCTCAACCTTTTTCCACTTCAAAGTATCTTATAAATTCACCACCTAAAACCTGCAAAAGCAGAAACCAACCTTGTTAAAAAAAAAGTAATTAATTTCAAATTTAGATGTTTCTAATAACCAAAAAAACTCAACAATTCATAACATATAAATCAGATTAAATTATTTCAATTAAAGATTAAAGACATTCCTCAATCTCTCCAATGTGATGAAAGGGAATTCAGAGAAGAATATGAACTGACCTTTGAGAAAGTACGAACCCTGATTGGGAGTTTGGGAAAATTGGAAGATAAATTTTTAAATTTTGGAATCGCAATCGAACCCTTTTTCAAGGAGATATCGTTATACAGAAAGGAGCAGAGAAGCGCGTGAGTTTTTGCGCGTTTTGATTATGGCTTCCCTTGCTCACTATTTTCGAAGCTTATTTTTTTGTTCTAAGAGAGAGTTTCACTTCGCTGTGGTTAGGTGTAGCCTATTAATTTAGTCGTTACTCAAATTTTCGGTTTGAGCTTGGGCTTGCGCTTGGACTTGGGCTTGAAAACTTCTATTCAAATTGTAATCCAAGTTGGGTTATAAAATTTCTATTCAAAACTTCAGGATATTTTTTATCATATTGTAAAACATGCATTATTATGTATAATTCATAATTAATAAATTAAATGAAATAAAATTTAAGCTTTCAATTTGTTAAATGAATTTTCATGTATTTTTTTATTTTTTTTGGCATATTGTTGATGTTAATTAAAATACGTCAATAGTAGTAAACTTTTATCAAAGATATAATGATTTTATAAAAAAAATTTAAATTTACCGTACAATTCTTTTTATTTTCAAATTATGACATCTTTTGTAATAAAAAAAAATAATGATCTCTATATCATTAACCTTCTTTTCCTTCTAATTGTTCAGGTTATTCATGGTCAATAATTACACTAAATATTAGTATCATTTATATTATAAAAACTTATCACATGCCCAAAGTGATTCAATTATAGTTAAAACAAATAATCTATAATAAGCCAGCTAATTGAATAATTTTTAATTGAATTTCTCATTATCTTTTTTTTTTCTGTCTTTTTAATGGAGAATTTCAGTTCATTGTTTATCAAGAAAAGACTTTATGGATATAAGTATATCAAGAAATATGTTAATATAAGTTAGATTATGATTAATGATTTTTAAAAAAATCATAATTTGAAGATAGAAATACAGAGCAAATATCTTCGGATGTGTCAAATTTTTTTAATGAAAAATTATCTGTAATTTGATTTACCTTCAATAGTAATTAACAGCCAAACTTGGATTTATTTGACCAATTTTTCCGAGGGAAAAATTAATGCACGATAACAGTTAATTATAGCTTTAAGGGACGCGTACCTGGCCTTTAGCAAAGGTTATTTTTATTTGATAAAACAAAACAATATTTCAATCTTGAAGATAAGCTAATTTTAATCCAAATGCTTGGAAACCAAGTTTGCCCCTGAATTAATAAAGCTAGTAAAATCTCAAGTGTAAATAGAATGTTCCAAAACAAATTTGGATATCTTTGACTGTTTTATTCAGAAATCAAATCTTGCCTTGTTCAGGATTTTGGCACAATAAATCTGCTATAAATGCTTGTAGGAGAGCTTGGTTTCTAGAGAAAAACAAGGGTTTTCTTCACTTTTCCAGGAGAGAAAAGTTTCAGGCAAAGAAAAAAGAGATTATGGTGAAAGAACCAGGGAGAAAATGTTCTCCTTGTGGACATAATGGCCAAAATTCGAGAACTTGCAATAGCAAGGCAGGTTGTGTCAAGCTTTTTGGTGTGAATATAGCTGCCATGGATCAAAAGCAAGAAAATTTCGTGAAGAAAAGTTTTAGCATGGGAAATCTGCAGTCTCATGCAGAGAACAACAATGGTATTGTCAAGGACGATGGTTATTTGTCTGATGGACAGATTCATGTTTCTAAGAAAAACAAAACAGTCCATGAAAGAAAAAAAGGTACTCAATACTATGTTTTTGTTGTTCTTATCGTCTGTCAGCCTCCAACCTGTAATTGTTTTTAATCACATATGTATACTTATGATATAATCTGATATAGAGAAGCAATTTTTAAGATCGAAATTTATGTTATGGAACCTGATTATCACTATCAACGATTGAATGTTAATCCTCATTATTGAATATTATTTTTAAGATCAAAACAGATTGAATGAAGCATCAATAAAAGCGTACTGAGCACGAAGCAGGCCAATCTAGGAAAAAGTTATCGAGTTATTCCATGTTTCTGGAAATTCTGTTTTGGCTCAGGGAAGCCATGGACGGAAGAGGAGCATAGAATCTTCTTAGCAGGTTTGAGAGAGCTGGGGAAAGGTGATCGGAGAGGAATTTCAAAGAATTATGTAACCACTAGGAACCCAACGCAAGTTGCAAGCCATGCACAAAAATATTTTCCGAGGCAGGCAGGGAATGATAAGAAGATTCGTAGACCAAGCCTATTTGACATGGCTTTTCAAGAATCCGAATCCGTAATATCTCTTAATCCCTCTCTTACTTTTGAAAAAGAACAACAATATATAGTTAGTTTGTTCATGTACATGACCAGAGCTCGTGGTTTTAATCAACAGAATGCAACTCCTTCGGGCTCCCCCTCAGGAAAAACTACTGCTAGAAATTCATGTCAGGATAATGCACCATCTCACATTGTAAACCGATTTCCACATCTTTGCTTGGATGAACGTCCGGTCATGTCGATGGCGGCATCTCATAATTTTCCAACTTATTATAACAGGATTCAACCCATGGTAAGAACCTATTTGCAATACAATATTTTCCTCTGAAAATGCCAAACCAAATATAGAAAAACTTCATCAATAATCAAAGTTTAAACAGGCAGGAGGAGTTCCCAATGGACAAGGCTTACCAGAAGCTACAATGATGCCATCTCTGCCGTATCTGCTTACAATGAATTATGCCGGACTGCGTTATTATTACATGGCTAGAGGCCTTGGGAATGTAGCTGCCTGCGCGCCAGCTGCTCACCCTTCTGGTATACCTTTACCAAGGTTAGTACAGCACAACATGTTTCGAGCTGGCCCTGTTGCTTCATTAACGGAAAAAGATCTTTGGGAGCTTAAGATCGGGCCCCCTCAATCATCAAACAATACAAGTCTGCCATCTCAGGCATCTATTAGGGTGACTCGAAAAAACAACTGTCATGTGTTGTTGATTTATTGATTTTTAGCACCAAGCTGAGTCCAATTAGAAATAACTTCACTCAATATTTATTTCGTCAACAATCTTCAAAGCTACAGTTCTAATGTCCAGTTTGACACAACCCTTCCAGCCTTTTGCTAAAGCAGATGTTAGATAATCGGGTTATTCAAGATTCCAATCATTTAACAATAAATATGATTTAAACTTCTTCCGAAACTGAGATTCGCAGAATTGAAGAAAGAGTTTCTATGGCTTCCATGGAAAAAATCAAAAGTGAGGAACTATGGCCAACAAATAATAAAATTAATGTTACTACTATCAAGCAACACAATTTGCACAGGCCATTAATAATGAACTGTAAAAGAGTTAAATTTCAGAACAGTCTGCAAACAATTGAAAAGGTGAATAAATATATAATTCTACATGGTAGCATAGTTTTCCTTTCTTGAGAGCAGAATTAAGAAAGCTATTCTCACATGCATCCATAAGGCTGGCAATTGGTAAAATCAACTAGGAAGAGCAGCAACCACTCTTCTGGTTAACAGGTTGTCCTCGTATCTGCACCATTGGTGGCCTTGCATTATTGGATGCTGGCTGACTTGCCATCCTGCAGTAAAAGGAGAAAAATTAAATGGGAATGGCAATCACAAGGATTATGTATTTCTGCCAATGAGATGAAAGTAACACTAATTGAATCTGTTTCTTCAACATTCTCTTTTAACAAGTCCAATGATAAAATACTAATTAATGTCATATTCCTGACTGCTAGTCAGGACATTTAGTATAAAAAATTTATAATGAGTCACAATTTTACACAAGTACCTGTTCTTAATATCAGCTGCCATTGCCATAAAAGCCTGTTCAACGTTAGTAGCACTTTTTGCACTAGTCTCCATAAATGGAATGCCAATTTCATCTGCAAATGCCTATTAACAGAACAATATCAATTGGACTGTTTAGTTTTCAAAATAGTTCATGAAAATTGAACCACTTTTACCTTGGCTGTTTCGTAAGAAACAACTTTTTTAGCAGTTAGGTCACACTTGTTTCCAACCAGAAGCTTGTTCACATTCTCACTTGCGTACCGATCAATTTCATTCAACCATTGCTTAACATTGTTGAAGCTCTCTTGGTCAGTTACATCATAAACTATCTGCCAGATGTGGAAAAAATGTTACAAACTTGTTCATAACAAATAAATCGTCGTAACAAAAAGATGATGACAGTGAAGAAATAAGGAATGTACACACATGGAGAGAAAACTTACTATAATGCCATGTGCCCCTCGGTAGTAGCTGCTAGTGATTGTCCTGAACCGTTCTTGGCCTGCAGTATCCCACTGCATGTTTTTCAGGGGAGAAAAGAAAGCAGAGGTAGATGTGCTTCAGTAGCTACTTTAGCACAGCAAAACAGAAGATACCACCCAAAAATAATGAATGGGAGGCATTACGGTAAAGAACATAATGAATACAGACCAAGACCAAGCCAAAACATCTATGATATTTAAAGAATAAAGCCATAATCACAGTAAAAAGTTCTGCATAAGGGCTTACAGGTCAGCAACAGCCAACAAACACGTGTCACATTAAAATGTTCAATCAAGAAAAATAAAAAGTGTACATCACAACAAATCAAAAATAATAATAAATCCAGGAAAACAAGGAATCAAACTAGAACCAGGCCATGAGACTCAACAGCCAAGAGGGGGAGATGTTTGATCAATACGACCTGCATGGCTATCAAACAAATAGATGCCATCTGCTAGTTTAATTCAATGAACTGAAATAAAAGCAAATAAATAAGGGAAAGATTCTCACAATTTGAAGTTTTATAGTCTTCCCATCTTGCTCCACAGTACGTATTTTCTGTAGAACAGAAAACAAACATATAATTCACAAAATTCAAATAAGAAGAACAATTACTTGAAACCACAGGCCAGAAATGCTCACAAAGTCCACGCCAATTGTGCTTATATAACTGTCCAGATAAGAATCATCCTGCATTTGAGCGATATGAGATGTAGTCAGATTACAAAGATCATATCCGAACCAAGCTTCAAAAAGTCAATTCTATTGTATTAAGTCTCAGCAAACTTCCCCGCAGAATACTTTTAATTTTTAAATAATGATACCTGGTTCTTTCAAAACAGCGCAATAAACACTGAATTCTTCTTGGACACTACTCAAAACTTTTAAAATCAATGCTTTGGAGAAAGTATATTTTACGCTTAATAAATACGTGCAATTTGATTAGGAACTACCATTTGCGATTTTCAGATAAAAGATAAGCAACGTAAATTAGAAGGAAATCAGGACAATTAAATTAATTGTTATAGTGGAAGCTTACAGCAAATCTCAGGAGAAGACACGATTTGCCAACTCCAGAGTCTCCAATTAGCAAAAGCTTGAACAAATAGTCACTGCACAAAAATTCAAAACCTTTAACATTTCAACTAAACCACATCTCAAAAAAATATCCATCACAAACCTAAAATTCTTTATTTGTCCAACAAAATTAATCAATATGAACTTACACGAAAATTCGGGACATACTTACACACGAACACTAACATTCCCTCCAACATTCAAAGATCGCATAAGGCACAAACTAAGCCTTACCCCATCTCTACAATCAATGACAAAAAGCAGAAGAATCGTTTCCATGACACATGATAGGATCATAACACAATGAAATCTACTTTAGATTATCCGTCCATAATAAGGCCATCAACTCATCATTTAGTAGTGATGAAGACAAAAGCATACAAAAAAGCAGACATAGAGTACTTCAAAACCTGAACTCAACAATGCTTTGCTTCATATTCTTGATCAGAATTCAATAATCAACACCCACAATTCAGCTTTTTTTTTTATATAATTAAAATAGATTAAATTCTGATGCAGCAATAACTTTTATCAAAAAGTTGTAAAATTTAGCATAAGTAACACACATCCACTTCCTTTAAAAGCATAATTGTTACAGATCTACCCAAAAAAAATTAGAAATAGAATTTAAAAAGAAATTAACCAATAAAACCCATAATTAAAAAGCTATAAAAACAGATCCATACAAAAAGAACCTTTACAACGGAACCCATCATTACGGATCTTAAGCAAACAGAGAAATATCATTGGAGTGAAAAAAAAAAAAACCATTATCGAAAACAATATAAATCAAAGAAAAAAAAAGAGAGGGAAGGGTGATCACTGATCAGGGAGCTTACTATTCAGGATTCATGATTGTTGGTTCGGCAGAGTATCGGACCGGTCCGTTTGTGGAGGAATGGGACCGGGTTCTGACAGGAAAGGCAAAGAAATTTTTGAGCTTTGTTCTTATTGTTTGTTCTTGAGAGAGAGAGAGAGGGAAGAGATTTTTTGTTTCAGTTTGGAACTGAAGACCAGACAAGTAAGAGAGAAGAAGTTGCTTTAACAACACCTCCGAAAGGCTTGCATGTTATGGTGGCATCCTTAAAGTTTCCAAGTCAAATCTGAGCCCAGTTCCAAATATTTTATTTTATAGAAAAAAATAACAAATTTTTTAATTTTGTTATAAATGAATGTGATTTTATTAATTTTAAAGCATTAAGAAATTTAATTTATATAATTATACCTTTTAAGAAAAAAACGAAAATGAGATAAGTTAATTGAATATCGGCTTATTAAGATTTTAATTTTTTTTCTTTTATTTAAGAAAATTATGTTTTTATAACTTAACTTATTATTTATTAATATTAATTACATTTAATTTTTATTTTTATTTTTATTTTAAAACAACAATATATAAATCTAATGTAATTAATCTTAAAATCTACAAATTTGTCTTAATTTTGAAATGATATAATATTTCATAACTTAAATTGTTACGCACCAAATAAAAATAAAATAAAATATGATATCTTCTTATAGTAGAGCTTTAAATTAACTAAAAATATTGGTTAATATCTCTCATAGTAATAAAATTGATTTTACATGTTAATTGAGATCAAAATTTATTTAACTCAACTTAAGTTTTACAAGTAGAATATTTAATTTTTATCAATTCAACTAATTTCGGTAACTATTATTTCTTTTTTTCTTTTAATATAAGGCCTCTTCCATCATACAAGATGAATCTTAATTAAGAGGCTATCAGACCAATTTTAAGGTAGGCCAACAATTAACAACATGCTATTGTTGTTGCACTTAATAGTTTATCATTCACCAGCTGTTTTAGATGTTAGTTAAAAGATTACCAAAAAAACTTTATTTATAAACTTGATTTTTCACTTGAATTCCTAATAAATTCCTATCTGCAAATTACAATCTGCTCCATTCACAGCTACACTTGTGAAAAAGGGGGAATTGAAAATGCCCCTCCAATGACCACATGAACAAAATTACACTTAAACAGGGCACCCAAAAAAAAATTTTTTTTTCTTTTTCCCATTTCCTGTCTCCGACAAAAGTTGAGTTGGTTATTAAAATAATTTCATTTTTGTATACTTTAAATTCCCAAAAATTAAATTATGATTATTAAGATTAAAAATTCAACATCCGAATAAATCATATTATTGTTAGCGATTATTACAATAATTTCATTTCTCGTGTCCTTCAGAAAATTGGCAATGGGGAGTTGATGCTGCTTTTTGTCTTCATTTCATTGATCTCTCAAAAGAAAATAAGAAGGGAATCAACCATTTGGTAATTGGGATCGTAAGTCATCAGTTTCCTTGAAGGTTTTTGAGGCTTAGGCTTTTTACGTCTGTCAGTGTCCCTCAAATCCGCCATTGGCAAAAACCCTGTTTGAGTACCATCGCTGTCAGTATCAATGTCTCCATCGATTGTCAATCCTTCAATCCTTCCTGCAGCTGTTTCCGTTTTGGTTCCCACTACCACATCTGCATTCCAAAACAAGAAATATAAAAAGGGTTTTATTTTTAGAACATCATTTAATAAAACTGTTGTACTGGTAGTAAAAGATGAAGCCTTTACTGATCATTTTTTTTTTTTTCATGATTAAGGGTTTAGATGAGATCAATTTTTATTCAATTTAATTTTTTAAAAAATGTATAATATTATATATTTTAAAAATATAATCTAAATTCGAACTAATTTTTTTAAAAAACCAATTTAATGTGAATCGAATTTTATCAATTCGTTTTAATAGTTTTTAAATTTTTATAAAATTTTTTATATATTATTTTAATAAAATTTTTAATTTATTTAAATAAATTTACTTATAAAATAATTATTTTATTTTATAAAAATTTAATATATATAAATTAATAAAAATATATAATTTGACATGTTTGTTTTTATTTATTTTTTACATCTCGATTTTATCATTACAATTTTGATTTAATAAAATAAATCAATCTAAATTGAATCAAACGTTACGAATCTAAATCAATTTTTATTTTTCTTAATGATTTTTCACTCATAAATTTATACATGTTTTGGATAAAAAGATAATGAAAAACAAGAATCATCCAAATATGGCGGTGAATCAATTTTACTTGCATACAAAGAATCAATAGAAGGATCTTATTGATTGTATTTTATCAACAATTTCGTGATTTGTTGATAAAATAGAACTCATAATTTTAATAATTAGGATTCAATGCTGACAGAAATGAAGACTCAAAGATCAAGCTGCCAAATGTCAACTTTACCTGGATTGGAAAAGAACCAGAGAATCAAGGCACAAACAAGCAGCACCAAAGGAATTAGATGCACAGCATTCTCAGCAAACTTAGCCCGTGACTTGTCTTTCTTAGCTATCTCCATTGCTGGATCATACATGGGCAGTTCATTATTGTCTTCCAGAGATGATGACATTCTGGTCATACCTGTCCCGGCCTTGGGGGAAGAATAATAGTCATCCGGAACTCGGCTCCAGCTTGCTGATCTATACATATTTTTTTGCTCCGGCCGTATCAAAAAAGCATGAACTAAAGAATGGGAGGGAAAAAGAACAAGAATTTTTATGTCATTTTCTGGAGATCACTTGGCCCTTTGTTTTCTCTACATGCATCAGATTGTTGGATTTGGCATGTCTTTTAAATTCTAGACTGGATAGCGTCTCCTCTGTATGCCTGAAACTGAACTTTGTCATGGTCATCGGATTTAAGACCGAGTATTTTGGCTGCTTGCTCGTTTAGACTTTGTCTGATTCTTTAGTTGTCACTCTCTTAATATTTTTATATAGTTGAATGATTGAATCGGTTCCTATTTTCACCCATTTCCTCAGAGCGCTGTCATGCAATTGAGCATCAACGTTGAATGTGAATAAGTAATTGAACAAATGGGTTTAGACAAGTGTAACGTAATTGCCAGGCTGCGACCATTTAGGGGCCCAAACTTTGCATATTGGATTCAAACCCTACTTCATTTATCAGTCTCATGATTTCTCCAATCATCCCCATCTACTCCACCAATTACAGAAATCCAAGAATTTACAGGCAAAGGGGGACATTTAGGATCGGGCCAGGAATATACAAATGCAAAAGGGCCATTGCCCTCATTTGTTTTACTTTTCCTCGTCAACAATCTTGAGCAAAGAAAAGCCCTTGTACGAAGCAAGTCAAATATATATACATATCTCCTTGTCTACCCTATACTCAATTGAGGGAAAAAAATGAAGCCTATATATACACACACACACACACACATACAGAAACCGCCTTCCAATGCTTATGGGCCGCAGCCAACAAAGTTGGTGAGGAGTGGGTGAGGGTGAAGTTTGCTGGTGAGGCGGATAAACCCCTCCCTCACAGCGCAAAAACCCTTCCTTTTGACTTGGGCAACCAGATTGTGCAGTCTTACAAGAAAGATCTGGCATTTGCTTGAACCAAATCAAGAGTAAAAATTCCATGCTCCCAACAACAAATTGCAACAGGTAAACTTGGTGACCAATGAAGCGAGAGGATTAGCTTCAGTCATCAAATCCTGAGCTGCAAGCCACTCTGAGGTGCAGGGAATACTTTAAATTAATTGTGCTCAAGCCAGAGCAAATTGCGATTAGTTTTGAATTAGCTTCATGATTTTTGCATATTATCGAAGACAACATTTGAGCTTAAACACTTTTATTGCCTTAAGAGCTAGTGATTTAACTAGATTTACGGCAAAGCAGCCATATTAATGTAACCCAACAAATTTTAATCACTTTTTTTCCAATTGCAACAAAAACAACGGAAATGGAAAGGTCCAAAAGGGCCTGGTTATTAATTAGATATCTTTCTTACTTCTTCACTCAATGTCAATCAATAAAAAATAATAAATATATATGGCACAAGAAACAAAAGGACATTTGCAGTTCTAAAGGTAGGTCATCTAATAATAAGCAACCCTGAGGTACATATACAATGCCAAATTTCATCATCTCAAAAGCATCAGTTAATCTCTCATTCATGGCCAAGCTGATTCTGCTTTGTTTTCTTGCTGTTTTCTGCTTTGCATTAACAAGTGATGCCACAACGTACGTGGTTGGGGACACATCCGGCTGGGACATAAGCACTGACATTGATTCATGGGTTAGTGACAAGGGATTCAGTGTTGGTGATGTTCTATGTAAGTGTCTTGTTGCCATCTTAGATTTGAGTTTTTTTTTGTTCATGTTACAAGCAATTAAGGAACCCTAATATCCTTTTGTTTGTTGAGTTTAGTGACAAGTTTCATTTTGTTTCTGTTTCTTGTAGTGTTCCAATACTCATCATATCACAGTGTAAGCGAGGTAACCAAAAAAAGTTTCAAAACTTGCAACACAACGGATACTCTGAGAACATTTTCCAATGGGAACACAACTGTTACATTGTCAAATGCTGGTGCCGCATATTTCGTTTGTGGTAACAAGTTGCATTGTCTTGGGGGCATGAGGCTTCAAGTAAACGTCGAAGGTGATCAAACATCTTCGACTGTTGGTGCCCCTGAAGCACAGCCTGGAACTACACTTCAGCAGCCTGCTTCGAAGACCAACAATCCTACAACAGTTATTCCCACTTCAAGTGGGTATATCATTGGTGGAATTCAATCTCTTATAATAGCCTTCCTATGTTTGACGGCTACAATGTTGCTTCTGTTCCAGACTTGAGAAAAATATTCGTAGCCAAGCACTATTACTCCATATAATATCAGAGTTGTTTCGCATTGTTGAACACCAATGAAGAGTTCATTCTTTTTCTTTTACTTTTAGGCAAATTCGTTTTATGTAGATTTTTCAATATTGTGATCTTATATGAACAACAGATTCTACTTGCATTGATGAATAAATTCTCTCCCCTCATTGCACTGTGATCAATGAGGCTCGTACTCAACCACTGTAGTAGTTTTTGGCTACAAGTTGATCAAAGAAAAGTTCATGAAATGTCAAAACAAAAATCTTGGAGTCACTTTGCATCTTAGTCGAAAGGTAACAAACCGATAACCGAGTTTGATAAGAGTAAGGTTTATTATTTCCGCAGTTTTAATCTGGTTAGTTTTTAAATTGTCCTACAGCAATGCTTAAGGAGAGGTGTGCATTTTCTATATATAAAGGGGTAGAGATGTATATTGGTTCTGAATTAATGAACAAAATCATATAAGAAAAACATGTTTATCATGTGATGAATCACAAAAGCACCCTTCTGCGCCCTGTTTCTGACAGGAACAACCTGTTACCCCTTAATTTAGAAAAGCAGGAACAACAGAAGAAAGAAAAATGAAAAAGAAAGAAAAGGAAAAAAAATCTGTGGTTTCATATTAAAGCTATCTCCTCCCACTTAGATACTCTTTTTTGATCCTCACGAGCTTGGTTTCAACTACTGTCATAGTCATTCTATCATCGGAAGACTCTGCAGTACAACCACAGGCCACTTCCATGATTGATAATATACATGTCCTATCAACAGCTAAGTCTCTCCGAAAGGATTGCAGCGAAGTGAAATCTACAATACTCTCTACTGCATGAGGTAAGGAAGAGCATACCCATCGCCTGAGGTTCATTTTGCCATTAAATATTTCATCCGTTGGCTTCTTTCTGGTAAATGTTTCCATCAGTAGAATACCGACGCTATAAACATCAGTTTTTTCAGAAACAGTTCCAGTTGATTCATACTCTACATCAAAATAGTAACAATGCATTAAGTATAACACATCCAACATAATGAATGATGTTCTGTACTTGATCATGATGAGAAACATCACCTGGAGCCATATATCCAGCAGTGGCCTTAGTCGCTGTTTTTGTCGCAGCAATTCTTTCACCTATGCGTTTGGCAATGCTAAAATCACTAACATGTGCAACCATGTCATCATCTAGCAGAATGTTGCTAGGTTTTAAATTGCAGTGAATGACACGCATTGAATGGAGGTAGCACAAAGCTGATGCCACATCTATCATTGTATTAAGCATTGTAAAGATATTCCTTGAAGAGTTGTCATCAATGTAATGAAGCCATTTTTCCAGAGATCCATAGGGAATGTACTCTAGAACCAAGGCTTTAAAATCAACTTCATTGCACATCATCAAGATTTTGACAACATTCCGATGGCGAATAAACGACAGCACTTCAGATTCAACTGCAAAACTCTCCCGCCCTCTTTTTTTTCGATTAAAAACCTTTATTGCTGCGTCTACACCATAATGTGGCAGTTGTCCTTTGTACAAGACACCAAATTCCCCATACTGAACTATTTTACTTTCGTTAAAGCCATCTGTTGCTAACAGAAGTTCTTGGCGTGAAATACTTGGATATATTTCCCTTTGATCTGACCATTCAGTGTCTCTTAAATAATTTTTTTTGATCCTCTGGAGCTCTTCTTCAACTTCTGTCATCGTCTTCCTCTCAATGGACAACTCTGCAGTGCAAAACCTCGCCACTTTCATGATTGATAGTATACATTTTCTTTTGGCAGCTATGGCTTCCTGATCAGCCTCAAGTAAAGTTGCATCTGTTATTCGATCTACTGCACGAGGTAATGACTCACATACCCAGCGCCTCAAGTTCATTTCTCCATCAAACATTTCATCTGTGGGTTTCTTTCTGGTAAATGTTTCCATCAGTAGAATACCAAAGCTATACACATCTGTTTTTTCAGATATAATTCCACTTGATCCATACTCTATATATAAGATAGAAATGCATTATTCAGATAAAGAAAAATTACATGCATACATGAATTATATAATGCAAATATAAATCAAAATAGAAACATTACCTGGTGCCATATACCCAACAGTGGACATGGTTGAGGTTTGTTTTACAGCCTTCTGCTCATCTAAGATTTTGGCAATGCTGAAATCACTAACATGAGCGACCATATCTTCGTCTAGCAGGATATTGCTAGGTTTCAAATCACAGTGAACAACATGTCTTGCATGAAGGTAAAGCATAGCTGATGCAACTTCTATCATTACGTCAAGTCTTTGCAAGAGATTCAGAAAATAATTATGAGTGTAAAGCCACTTGTCCAAGGTCCCGTTAGGCATGTATTCTAGCACCAAGGCTTTGAAATCATCATCACGGCAACTGTTAATCAGTTTGACAATATTAGGATGATGAATAATGGACAATAACTTGGATTCATCCTCAAAACTCCTTAATGCTCTTTCTGTATGCATATTGAAAACCTTTATTGCAACATTCTTCTCCTCTTTCATTGTTCCCTTGTAAACAGAACCAAAACCCCCAGTGCCAAGTAGGTTACTTTCACTAAATCCATCTGTTGCTAGCGCAATTTCTAGGTACAAAATTGTTCTTCTTTTTGTTGGAAGAACAGCTATCATCCTTTTTTGGAAGTACTGCTTTACCAACACATGGATCAGTAATAGCATATAATAGAATGCAATCGATGGCAAAAGAATCTTGAGAAGAAGAAAAAGAGTTCTCCACGTTCCTTTGGAGGTGCCAGTTTTGCAGGGTGGAACTTGCAATCGTGCTGCACCACAAAGTGCTTTATTCATCATATATGATTGGGCTGAGAAATTAGCAAAGGGTCCTCCACTGGGAATTTCTCCTTGGAGTTCATTAGAAGACACGTTAAAATATTGAAGATAAAAGAGCTCTACCAAGGACACAGGAATTACTCCAGAGATGTTGTTAACAGAAAGATCCAAGAACTCTAAGCTTATAGAACCATTAAAAGATTCTGGAATAGAGCCTTGTAATTTATTTTCTGCTAAAGAAAGATACACAAGACTTTGGAGATTCCCAATGCCGCTGGGAATGTAACCTGATAACTGATTCTTAGACAAATCAATTTCAGTCACAACCCTCAAATTTCCAATTTCTAATGGAAGAGACCCCTGTAGAGAATTTGATGACATGTCTATGGCCAGGATATCCTTAAGGCTCCACAAGCTTGAGGGTATCATGGAAGTTAATCTGTTAAAGCCTAAGCTGATATTTCTTACAGCAGTAAGATTACCTAGGCATTCTGGTATTGATCCAGAAAGCTCATTACCACCTAAGAATAATTCCACCAAGCTGCTCAATTGACAAAGATCATACAAGATGGTTCCTTGCAATCTATTGCTTTGAAGGTGCAAACCTTGCAGCTTTTGTAGTTTTCCAATTGTATTTGGAATAATACCAGTCAGTTCATTTTTTCCCAGCTCTAAGGCTATCAAGCTGCTTAAATTGCCAAGTTCAGCAGGAATGAAGCCCTTAAGTTTGCAATCAGACACCAAAAAGTATTCAAGAAAAGCTGAGAGATTACCAATGGACATGGGGAGGATGGAACCGAGAGGATTGCCTGATAGCACAATCCTTCTCAAATGGCTGTTTTGTGTCAATGAAGAAATAAAATTTGATTCCACCGTGGAGGATTCACTGGTTAAGTTATTCTGGGCTAATTCAAGTTTCTGGAGATTTCTCAGATTACCGATAGAATTAGGAATACTGCCAGTAAAGAAGTTATCTGTCAAGTCCAAGAGAGTGAGTTTTGATGCATTAGAGATGGAGCTAGGAATTATTCCTTGAAGTTCATTTCCCTGAAGGTGAAGCTCAACAAGATTTGGAAGGAAGAAGCCTATACTTGATGGAAGGGTTCCTGAAAGAGAGTTTTCATAGAGCAAGACAACTTGTAACGCTGAGATATTGAAGACTGTTGATGGAATAATGCCCCTTAAGATGTTATTATTAACTCTCAATGCCTCTAGGTTGGAAAGATTTCCAATCTCTGGTGGTAGTTCACCTACAAAAAGCGGAAACCACCAACATTTACTTTAACAATTGAATTCTGCAGTTTCTACTCTCATTTCTTAACAATTATTGCATTAAGAAGTATGAAGAGGAAGAAATGTAATCATTCAATGAGGATGTTGCCAGATCAAGCCTACCTACAGAAGAAAATAAAAAAATATGAACTGATAATGGACAACATAAAGCAACCTCCCTAAAAGGGGCAATGGTGGAATCTAACTCCGGAAAAGATGCCATGATCTGTCCTTCTGTATGACAAAAGGTTCACATACTAAGTTATCCTACTTGATTCCAACCTATATTTCTATCTCCTAAAGAAATGAGGTATTGAGCCTCGCAATTTTAATTTAGTGTCGATGGCTCCAAGTAATGCAGGGGATTTTTTTGTAATGCAATATTATCACAGCCATAACACTACCTCCAAGACAGGACATTGTATACTCAGGCTCAGTTAAGAGCACACAAATTATCTAATCCTCCTCTCACCAAAGCATCTTTCCCCATGGTCCATTTTATGCCAAGATCTATCTAGTCAACCAGCACCAGTACAGATCCAGCAGCAAACTCAAACCTTTTCAAGATGGAGTTTGTTTGAGAAGTTGGGACCTAAGCAAACAGCCTGATAATGCAGTAACTACAAAAGTATAAAGTACCTGTCAACTTGTTTCCACTGAAGTTTATTTCCTCAAGCAATGTACAGTTTCCGACACTGCTCGGTATGCAACCTGGATAAATTCAAGCAGTTCAAACATTTAAAAAAATATGATGGCATATCAAGGAAAATAAAAAAAAAAAAAGGCAAATAAAATTGCACCTGTAAGGTGGTTATATGAAATGCTCAGATTCTTTACATTGGTTAGATAACCTATTTCCCAAGGAATTGTTCCTACAAAAACATTATCATCAAGATAAATCACCTCATGAACACTTTGTTTATTGCCTTAGAATCCATTAACTGAAAAAATTTTAAAAAAAAGAAAAGAAAAGATTACGACAACGTGTTCTATAATGCATTTACCATTTCATTCAACAGTAAACTGCACTATAATTCTCAAATACCTACAAGTGAAACCTTCTTCAATGAGGCCTAGAGATCATGTACAATTGCTATCATTTTAGTTTAGTGATTTTCCAATCCAAATCACCACCATCGCAGGCTTATATTTTTTTAGCCATTACCAGTCTACCCTTCAAATGTAAGATGAATATTTACCAAACATATTTACCAAATATAAGATGAATATGATAGTAGCCAAAATCAATCATCTAGCAACCAATTTTATAATGAGAATTTAAATTAAAGCTTTTGAATGAAAGGTGTTTATGTGATGGCAGATCTCGAGCTTGCTACATTTCAAAGGCCAACCTAAATGGCTTTTAGCAAGAACCACAGTTTCAAATTGAATTCTACCTACTCATGAAAACATCTATCCAGAACAGTCTTAGTATAAGAATTACTGAAGTCAAATCCTGACTGGCATACCAGACATATATAACAAATTAAGATGGTGAAATAAACCAAATTCTATTTGGCAAGTATCACATTACTGATACCTAATGATAAATAAATGAAAAGAAAAAAAAAAGAAATGACATGTAACAATGAAGGTGTCATCTCGCTTTTATCCTTGATACATACTTTCTGGATTTTATAGTAAGCATTTTGCTCTAATGTTCATGATACGGTTCCTCTCATTTTCTACCAAAGCTATATGGACATACATTGGGAGGTTGAGACTGAAAACATCTCTACGAGTAAAAATGGTCCGAGTGACATTTTTCGTACCTTCCAAGTTGTTATGGCTAAGACACAACTTATTGAGCATGGTTAAGTTCCCAAGTTCTGTTGGTATGGCTCCTCTGAAATTGTTGGAAGACAAGGATAGTACTTTTAGCTGTCTGTAGTTGAATAAACTACTTGGGATCTGTCCATAGAGTTGATTCCCAGACAAATAGAGCTCCTGCAAGTCTGGAAGGACCATATCTATTGAAAGTCTACCAGATAGTCTATTAAAGCTAAGATCAATTATTCGTAGGGAAGAAGCATTAAAAAAGTTGGAGGAAATAGAACCCGATAGCTGATTGTAACTCAGACCAATCTTCTTCAATGACGTTATGTTGCTTAAAGATGATGGAACCGCACCCAGAAAATTGTTATCATTTAGAACCAAGTTCTCAAGTTCAGGAAGGGACCAGAACCATGGCGGAATCTCTCCAGTAAAGAAGTTGAGTCCAAAGTCCACAGTTTTCAAGCTGCGCAAATGAGCTAACTCGTTGGGCAAAGAACCATAAAAGCTGTTGTTTTTTATTGATAGCAGAGAGAGGGAAGATAAGTTTCCAATGTGTGGAGGGATGGTGCCCTTTAGACCCATGGAAGAAATATTCAAGGCTATGACCCTCTGGGGTTGGCCACCGCAAGTAATACCAATCCAATTGCAAACAGAAGTAGCTGTTGTCCAATTGTTTGCCAAGATATTTTGAGTTTCGGGATTGATATGGGCTTTCAAGGCCAGAAGCGCAAATTGATCAGTGGTTAATGAGTGAAGACGGGGTATACACAATATAAAGAAGTGAACTAACAACACCAAACTATGAAAGCAAGAAATCTCCATGACCGTAAGATTGAGAAATGGACGCTTATGACAATGGAGGAAGAGAAATGAGACAAAACTGGAAAATAAATGACCCCAATTATAGCAGGATGTACAGAATCTTTTAAATTGGAGGGTTGCCCGTTAGACTGGATTTTTCTTCCTTACCCCTCTAATGGAGGCCAAAAGGCGTTACGTTGGAGGTTCCGTTCCTTTGTGCAAAATGACCGTATAGATTTTCCAGCAACCGTCAAATCTCAATCAGATCACTAGGAAGAACAAAAAAAAAAAAAAAAAAACCGACAGAGGGAGAGTTATAGATGAACAAAGTTGTTCGGTGAGCTAGAGAGGCTCAAAGGGAGAATACAATCTGTAAAACAAATCACTGTTTTTAATCCTTCAATTAGTAGAAAAAGGACTGCTTTGGACCATAACAGGGGCATTTCAGTTCATACCTTTTCTTCCCGGATATGAACCGGATGAATATCATTCATTGTCTTTTTTTTTATTATTATTATTATTTCCTTGCCTCCTTACCTGGAAGGATCAATTTTTGACCTAGAGACATTGCGAAACCCACACGAAGCAAAATGTTAAAATCTTAAATTGTCTTAAAAGCCAAAGCATTTTTTTATTGCAATCGAAAGCCTCACGTTAAATAAAGATGTCAAGTCCGTTTTTAGAATGGCTTAAAAAGAGTGAGCCACTCGAGAGAAAAAGGGGAAAAAAAAATGGAAAGATAAAAAGGGGAAAAAGGAAAACAGAGGGTTGTTAGTTTGATCAAAATTGAATTTTGCCAAAGCCTTCAAGATTTAGTGCCCATTTGAATTTTGATGTGATTGAATTTATTGTACTATCAATTAAATCTAAATATTAATTTTAGTAAGATTTATTTAGTATAAATTTTTTATTAAAATTTTTTTAATCATAATTACAGTAATTTTATTATTATATCGGAGTTAATTTTACGGTCCATTTAAATGGAGTCTTAATGTTTTACATCTTGAATGACAAAAATCCAAATTGAAACTCTCTAAAAACAAATAAAAAATATATTTGTTGACTCTATAAACAAATCAAATATATATTTTTGAGTTATTTATTTAGTAAATTTATTTAATTATTTCTTTAATTATTGTTTAACTCTAATTTTAATTTTAAAAAAATTTATATATTTATTATTTGATAGTTAAAATTTTTCTATAAATTCATGGTTTTTTTCCCTCTATTATGAGGGTTGATACAAGTAGACTAGATTTTACTACCTTAGCATCTAATGAAGGCCTAAACAATTATGCTAGAAGTTCTCTTCTTTTGTATGACCTAGCCATACAGATTTCTTAGTAATCATCAACCCTCAATCAAATCAATACTAGGAAAAGTAAAGAAAAAACTGACAGAATGAGAGTTAGAGATGAACAAGGTTGTCTGGTGAGTGAGAAAGGCACAAAGAAAGAATACAAAGTGTGAATAAATCATTATTTTTAATCCTTTAATTAATAGAAAAAGATCTGTTTTTGGCCATAGTAAAGGCATTTCATATTTTTTTGTTGGTATCAAGCTTCGACTTGAAAGTGTTCCTATAAATGCAGAAGGGAAAAATGATTAAAGGTAAAGACAGATGTTCTTTGCGTTTACATTTTGAAGTGCAAGTCATAAAAGGTCATGTCAAAAAAGAAGTGAGAAAGTAAGAAGAATAGAAAAAGATGAATAGGATAAACTTGGCTTCGTGGTGTCTGAGTCTCCATATTTACAGGTAAACTAAAAATGCCAAAAAAAAGATAATTAGGATAGGACTGAGCTGATGTGGCACTAGTGATGTCAGACTGACCTAACATGTCAGATAACACAAATGACCAAGGTACCCCTAGTTGCCTGCTGAAGATTGAGAGAGGAAAAAATACCACTATGTCTTTTTAACCATTCTATGCCCCTAACACTTTGTCCCTTCATCAAGCGGTTTGAGTATCAAATTATCAAATTTGTTATCGACATCTTCGGTATGGAGTAAATGGCTGCATATTTCATCAAAGATCAACATTGCAAAGAAAGGTCAATTTTTGGATGACGACTAGCTTTAAGCCACAATCCGACCTAATAGTTATCCGATCTTATGCGTGTGTTTCAAGATGAGTGTATAATATATTTAAAAGTTACGGAAGTGATAATTATCGAGGGTGATTTGATATTATTGCTAGAATTCATATGGCCATGGTGAAATTTATGTTTTCTTTTAAAAATTTAGACTTGAGTCTCTATTTTAAACTTTGAAAGTGAATTAGGCTCTATGTTTATCCCTCAAGGCTATCTGGTTCAGCCAATCCAATCTAAGATTCATCTAATTAGGTTAGTCTGACAACATTAAATGAAGAAGACAGTTTGAACGAAAAGATTTATAGTAAAAAAGATGAAAAGACATCTACCCATCCATACTTTGACATGTGGTAAGGATCATGTCATTTATCTGGTTTGTAGCACGTCTATATATATGAGCTAGTAGGGCTTTAGCCTTTCACCTTTTATTTTATTTGCTCTTAATCCAACCTAAAATTTTTAATCTTAATAGCTTTCCAACCTTTTAAGTCTACACCTACTTTGATATGTATTTCTAATCATGTCTTCTAGTATAAGTTCTAGAAGAGTTAAAAGTTATAGGGTAAAATCGAGGGGAGGTCAGTAAGAGCAATAAGATAACGACCTGATCCCCCTATTATTAAAGGCCATAACTATACAAAAACAACCTATTAGATTAATTTGATGTTTGAGGAATGAAATGGTGCAATGGAGAGCATGCTCAGGCAATAGACGAGCAAGTTTTAAGCACTGAAAAGCTGCATACTCAAATCAACTTTGAACTTTAAAATCCACCTACTTTTTTTATCTTTAAGGTCTATCCATCTTCTATAACTGACATTCCTTCCTTTTCAGGTATTCCTCATTTTAGGGTTCAATCTTTTCCATCTCTTACCACTTATACTTTCTTTTCTTAATCAATTTTTTTTATATCTTGTTCTCTCGTGAAGGGTCTTCATCTTATCCTTCTTTCTTTGGGATCAAGTTATTTTCATCCACTATTCTTCTTTAGAATCTATCTCTCACCTAAGAGTCAAATTTTTTTGACAAAGAAGGTTTCAATAAGGGATAAGAGAAAGGTAATACCTCAGCAAAAAAAAGTGATAACAAAGGAAAGAGTCTTGTAAAGCAGGATAAACTCACCAAAGTTTTCTATATAAACTTCGTGTGACGTCAGCGTGATCTCTAAGGACGTGACGAGTAAGTTAAAGGGCAGAGCAAATCTAAAAAACTATATCAACATTTGCTTAGCTAATCACATTTGAGCTATGGATATCATTTTTCTTTTTTTTAGAGAGGGATACAGTATAATAATGTCAAACTTTTCAGACTAGGTCACTGATAGACTAGAGCCACATTGGCTTTATGTATATTGGAATTCTTTCGTGACCAGTCTACGGTTTCACTTCATATTTTATTCATTTTAATTTTTAATTCTTATAATTTAACCATTCTCAACTTATCCCAAATTCTATTTGGTATATAGTCTCTTTTATTATTTTTTGTTAACATTTAAATATTCTTCATTTTCTCTCTATTTAAGGAGTTTTTTTTCTTAAAAAACATCATAATGATAGTATGTGATTTTATATCATAGCTCAACCAAATAAAAAGATTCTTATCGATTACCTGAACTCAATGAAAAATTGAAAGCTAATCTTCTTATGCCTTGAGAAATAAAAGGTCAATAAAGATGGTGAACCTCGAAGTTAAGGCTTGAAAAATAAAAAGTACACCTGACTCCTCTATGGATGCGCTAGTGGCCTTTTTCATCCCTGATCTATCAAATCAGGATAAAATTTTAGATTTTATATATAAGAAAGAGCTCATTATTGACGTTAACGACCTGACCTCTTTAGAAGTAATAAACAAGACAAAACATTGGGATAAGTTTGAGGTAACCTCATCAAGTTTTATTTTAAGTTAATTTTTCATCTAATTGTTAGCTCAGTTTTGTAAATATGGCTAAAATTGAGGAAGACTTTAACGTTACCCTATATCAATGTGCCTTGAGGCCCAAGAAAAAAAAAAATCCAACTTAGGGCCTCGTTGTGTGAGGGAGATAAAGTAGTCAGTAAAGTTATACCCCATACTCCTCCAGGTCGAAAATCAAAAGCTAAGATAGGTCAGGACCTATCCTTCACATCAGCCTCGACATCACCCTTTTCAGCTAAAAAACCATAGGTAGAGATGTTATCTTCTGATCCTAAGAACCCCGAGACTAAGGTGTTAACACCTAGTATGGAAAGAATAACCATTGGGTTGGAGTTTGCTATAATGGATGACACTATCTCTAACTTCGATGTTGCTAGAAGATTATGTAAAGTTACGATTTCTCCTTTTGATAAGTATCTCTCGACCTTAGCTCGATTTTTAACTATTATTTTTATTTTTATTTTTTTAAGTCTAAGCTCTTTTTGTGCAGTCTAAAATAAAATTTCCCCCTTAGCTTGTAGAAAACAGTAATCAGGTCCTTTATTATGCTTATTTGGCTATGGGGCATATGCTGAAGGTTGAGAAAAATATGGCTACCCTTATCAATGAGCATAAAAAGAGCTCAAAAGCATTGGGTAGTATCAGATCGATTTTCACTACATCTCACAAGAAGAAGACAAAATTGAAGAGAAAAGTAAATGACCTGGTAACAAAGTTAAAAATCATCTCGGTGGATAATGCCTTAGCTAAATCGATAAAAGAATAAGCCAAACTGAAACTAAATGATTCTCAGGCTGAAATTACAAGGTTAAAGTCCAAGTTAGAGGCTCGAGACAAGAGAAAAAAAGAGTTAAAGATGAAAGCCATGAAAAAGTATAAAGCCTCCAATGAATATCTCTGAGCAAATATAAAATTCTTCAAGAATAACGTTCTTGGTGCCTTTCAGCTAGCCAAAGAAGAGATGCAATTCAAATTCTCTTCTCTCAACCTTGATCTTTCTGTTATTGATATCAGTAATATTATATAGAAGCTTGTTCAAAATCAGCCTAAAAAAGATGAGAAAAAAGAGGAAAAAAATGAAGATGAGGCCTTGAAGAAAGAACTGAAGGTCACCATAAGGATAAAGAAAGAAAACATAGAGGTCAATGAAGCTGAGGTCGTTATTTTTTCTATTGTTGGTGAAAGTACTCTTCCCACTGGTGTTACTATCGCTAATGACTGAATTTGATGATTTTTATTTTTTATTTTGTAAACTTTTTAACTTTGAAATAAGGTTTTTATAAAAACCTCACATACTTCAATTGATGTACTTTATTACATTAAAAATAGAAAAAAAAATTTTAAGTTTTAGCTCAATTTTACTATCTTTTTTTATTTGCATTAGTTCGAGAGCAATTTATCGATCCAAACATAAATAATTGGACTACAAACTTGCATAATTACTTTAGATTAGATTAACGTAGTTACAAGTTCTAGGTCGAATTTTTTCAAATGACTTTAAATCACTTATACATAAGCTTACTGAAGATAATTTCATGTGTGAGCTTGGTTAGAAACAATCTAATAATAATAGATCTTTATTTGCATTTCATATCCT